GGCCTGACAAGGACTGCTGTCTAGTCCTTCGGATGAGACGAAAAACCGAGGTCCCGTGTTTACATTGGAATGCACGTAAAAGATCCCTTGGCAGTTGGAATTCGATATAAGAGTAGGCGATAGTGCCGCTGCCCGGGCAAAATTTCCCTCATAGCACACTGTATGGCGTATGCCCGTCTTCATTATGCATTGCACATCGTCATAACATCACAACAATATTCATAAAATTTAGGTTACCGGTACAATAATTTACATACCTGTAATTAATTAAGAAATAGATAAATATGGTATATCAAGGTTGTGGACCCTCTAGAGACCACAGTTTTTATCCAATTTGGATGAAACTTTAAATATATGTTTTTATCATTAAGATCTTGGTTCCTTTTGATAATTATTAACATTAGTGTTACTTTGCTCTTATTTTTTGAAAAAATTTTCACAAGTTGATTTCCTTTATTTTGTTAATGTAGAATGGTAACGAACTGCCCTTTTCATTTTCTTTGTTTTATTTGTTTCGTTTGAATTTGATTTATCTGTTTAGTTTTTGATTGTTTAATTTTTTGTTAATGAAGTTGATTCTTTTAAACTTCGTTTTTATTTTTGAACTCTACTTGGTGTAGGTGTTCATCAGGTAATACCTCGACTGAGTTCAATATTGAGATTAGCCGGTTGATTTGTTGGATATAAACCTTTGAATAATAGCGCCTAACAGGCAGCTGTGTTTAATTATGTTCTCCTGATTTTGATTGTTTCTGTGTGTTTGAAGTATATGTTTGTGATATGCGCTTAGAAACACTTCACGTGTAATGAAGCGCTATATAAATCGAACAATAATAATTAGCCCAGTTTAGGAGCAGAACAGTAGGACGTTAAACCCCATTTCATTTCATTTCATTCATTTCTAATAACGCCACCCTTAAAGGTTTCTCCGGGTAATGGAATGGGTTTTGTCAACAACTTTCTTTGGTTAATTTTTTAAACTAACATATGATTACGTGTGCGCAATGAGTAGGCGGGTGGGGGTAGGCACTATTACTCACCTATACATAAAATCAACAGTAAAGAAATTAGATGGTTTTCGAAGGTTTATCGACATAAACATGCATTATGCAAGAGCTAAATCTGCCTATTGCAGGTCTTTCTTTAGGCCTGAAATGTTTTCTAAAGTATTAATTAGACATTAATTAACTGATCCAGGCCTTAATCAACTCTCGATGGCATCAGATTTCTCCGATATTAAATAGATTAGAATGGTTCAGCGATACTTTGATTTAATCAAATATGGAGGCCCGAGACTTAGCTTCGATCAAATTTTCAAATTATTCATTTCACATCATCTACTTTCGAACTATTATAGCAAGAATGGCTAGCTCTTTATCTAAATCTTACATAATGTATCTTTTATTGTTAGATTAATGGTAAATCCGGATTGTGAAATCTAGGTCAAAACTATCGCATCATTTAGAGGCAGGTATCGTGCACCGGGCAGAGAGAGAGGGGGGGGGAGAAATGGGGTTCAACGTCCACTCGACAGACTAGGTCATTTCGGTTTAATTTTATTTCAATAATTCGCTTGTGCGTAGGGGTCCTTAGCAGTGGGAGGAAACCGGAGAAAACCCACGATGTTGGACAGGCAACCCTACCCCTTGTCACATAAAACCGGGGATTGGAAACCACACCAGTTGACTCAATGACAGGCCTTATGATACAGCGCGCGCACGTGGCACAGGGCAGTGTATAGTTACACTTCTAAAATACCTGACACCACTCCTCATTTGATAGTATAGTATATGAACATTTCCAATTATGCAGCGCAAATCCCAGGGCTGATCATGGACAAAAATCAGATAGTTTATCCGTCTTTCTCAAGCTCTATTCGGTTGATTTGACAATCTATATTTCGTTTCGTTTGTTTTTTTTATACTTTCGATCGCCTACACTACATGAAGATCTGACAAGTTGTACTCGAAGGTCGTGTCAGGGGTCGTACGAGCGGCTTTTGACCCTAGGACGTCAGACATTGATTAATCAAACAGCATTGGCGTTTCTAGTGGTTTACCCGCAGTTCCATGCATGGCACGCCAAGAAGTCGCGGGGGGTTGGATGGTCGAATGGTTAGCACGTGCGTGCTGTATCATAAGACCTGTTATTTAGTCAACTGGCGTGGTTTCGAATCCCCGGTTGTACGTGACAAGGAGTAGGGTTGCCTGTCCAACCTCGTGGGTTTTCTCCGGGTCCTCCGGTTTCCTCCCACTGCTAAAGACCCCTACACGCAAGCGAATTATTGAAATAAAATTAAACCATATGTTAGTCCCGAAATGACCTAGTTTGTGTCGAGTGGACGTTAAACCCCATTTCTCTCCCTCTCTCCAAGAAGTCGCCGTAACAGATTGTTACATTGGCTTATCCCCCAATTCAACCAAAACGCCGGTAATATAACAACTCTTCCAGATCCTAGTGTAGTAAAGACAAGTAAAACGAAATTTTGAAATATAAAAAAACGAAACTAAATAGAATCTGTGTTTTAATCAGATTGTTGATTTGATAAAGTTTCGTCCTTTAATTTAAGGATTCGTATCTTATTATAAGATGGGCCGAATGGCAGACTCCGACAAAAGAATGGTGGAATTAAAATGGGTTTCGGGGATGAGAAAATGGATGCAAAAGCTATTTTTTTGGGAGAAGTTTTATCGGTTAGAAATCGTGTATGGTGCTGATCTACTTTCAGTTTGTAATAATTTTCTATATAGTGTCAGAATACCATGGAAAATATGTAATCTTGCACATTTTGTCACCTTGACATACTGGGCCCATTTTAGTGACATAATTTGACAATCACCAGTAATGCTTATGAAGCTGTAATCGCATCCGATTTCTCATCCAGAAAAGCTATTAAGCTCACGCCATGGCGCCCCGGACAGGTCATAATGGTATTAGTTTGATAACAAAATTAGACATCCTCTAGCCCTAACAGTATACATATTGTTACCCAAATGATTAATATTGTACCAGGATATGGGCTTATATCTGCAAGACTTATTGCTGGCCCCGAAACCGACATCACTGAAACATTTTTTTCTCATTTTGATAAAACATAAAATATATCCGTATAAGCCTAAATAGATAACCTTTCCTTAATCTGGACAATAAATGTATATTTTAAATCAAGTATCTATTTCAGGGTGAAAAGAACATATTGTTTGATTTTTGTTTAAAAAGTGAGAAGAAGTGACACGTTTTACCTTTATAAACTATTGATTCGACACTAATAAATACGATAATACCAACTCCAGTAGTAGGGAATAATATACATACATATAGAGAAGTATTATAGTTTATCTGTAATCCTCTTAACTGTTTAGTAAATAACGAGTTTTCATTCAATGTATCCATTGAAGGGCACATTACCAAGAATAATGAATCAATGGTTTGGAAATATAGCAATGTGAATGCTATGATTAAAGGTGGATTGCGGTATATAGGTTATCAAATATTGTCTTCCAATCCGAAGAGCTGTGATAGGACACTGTATTTGTCCGAATAAATTTGACATCTTCAACAGGCCTTTGAAGAAATGTTTGTGCTGAATATAAACAACTTTCCTTTACAACAAAAAAATACATTTTGCCCTGGAAAAATTTCACCAGAGCACTGACTTATAAAATCTTTTATTATACACCCACATTTTCACGTGGACGTATATTATCGTCGCTCCTGTCCGTCTCTCCGTCCACAATTTGTTTGCGGACACTACACAGGTCACAATTTTTATCCAATTTTGACGAAACTCGAAATATAGGTCTATATCCCAAAGATTTCGGTTCCTTTCGATATTGGATTATGGCCCTTGATTGTACGAAAAATCTTGTTTTTAGCTTGTGGACACTCTAGAGGTCACAATTTAGGTGGGATTTTGATAAAACTTAAAATGTATGTTTATTACCCAAAGATCTCGGTTCCTTTCGATATTCGCACACATTGGACCGTAACTTCTTAGATTATGACCCCTGGTTGTACGAAAAATCGCGTTTTTAGCTTGTGGGCCCTCTAGAAGTCACAATTATTATCCGATTTAAAACATTCGTTCGAATATATCACCGTTACACATCAATTACGGTTGAGTTCGAATTTCGTAAAAATCTGACGCAAACTGCCGGACAAAATGGACGCTCCTTGAACGCAAATGTGTACAAGTATGTAATACCAAGGTTGTGGACACTCTAAAAGTCACAGTTTTTATCCGATTTTGATGAAACTCGAAATGTATGATTATAATCCCATGATCTTGGTCCCTTTTGGTATTTGCGCATATCGCACCGTAACTTCCTGGAGTAAGACCTCTGATTGTACGAAAAATCATGTTTTAGCCTGTGGACCCTCTAGTGGTCATAATTGTTATCCATTTTTAAAAAAACGTTCAAATGTATCACCGTTACACACTAATGACGGTTGAGTTTGAATTTGGTGAAAATCGGACCGAAACTGCCTGACAAAATGGCAGCTCCTTTTACACAAACAGTGTAAAAGTATGTAATACCTAGGCTGTGGACCCTTTATCCGATTTTGATGAAACTTAAAATATATCTTTATATCCCAAATATCTCAGTCCCTTTTGATATTCGCGCATTTCAGACCATAACTTCTTTGATTATGGCCCCTGATTGTACGAAAAAAGCCTTTTTTTTTCGCGTGTATTTTGCCTGGCAATCGCTGGTTTTTACTTTTATTAAAGTTTGTTTAACTCACCGTATGCCTAAAATACAAAAGATTCAACACATTCAAAAGGAAAACATTTTTGTTATTACAAATTACATATCTTATCTTGAATAAATCTTTGGTTGAGAAAAAAAAGATTTTATGACCCTGTGGTTGGTTTCAAATTAAAAAGGTAAAGGGAGGTAACTATATTTTCTCTGTTTACCTGGTTGTTACCCAGTTGAGTTGAACGTACATGCCTACATGGTTAAACCCACACTGCGTGCATGTTACATCTAATGCAATCTGATTAAAACACAGATCATATTTCGTTCTAGACGTTTGGACGCGAAGGTAGAAATCGGTGAATTGTTTTATTACTAAATGGAATACGGCATAATTGTGTGTATGGTGGTGTAAATGAAACCTTTACATATCGATATAATTTTCCGATAAAGGCTGTGAGTTCACCGAGTATCGCATCGCTGGTATAATATAAGGACATAGGGTCATTTTCAAGATTGAAAATAAAATGGCGGGCACAGGACTCCGAAATCTCACACTACATGGAAACAGGAAAGTAAGCAAGTCGAAATCTAAGACTCGACTACTGTAGGCCTACTACATAGATCAGAGTATCAATAGAGAGATAATAGCTGTCCCCAACTTTGTCTGTAGCTGTAACCGCGATTGGGCAAGAAAGTGATGAAATTTAAATTTTCGTTTACATGATAACACGCGGGTGTACGATTTAAATGGGTATTGATAGTGGAATAGTGTATAGTATCCATTCCAAGGGCCACTATTCTGTGTTGGAAAATAATATGTTCAGGCTTGTTAGTGTTGATATTAGTTTGCAACAAGATGGTGTCACTTTACCTTAAAAAAAATGTTCTAGAATTTAATTTGCAGAAGGAAAAAAGTTAATATTGGGAGCTCATTATGTCGCACCTTTCAGTGATTGTATCGACCGAGCGAATATTCACTGTTGATCAGTGTGCACTACCAATCTGTTTCACAGAGAATTACGAGTCGCGACCAAGCAAATATTCACTGCGGATCAGTGTGGTGCACTACATGTGGTGTAGGCCATCGAAACGTCATTGATCGAAACTGAAAAAAAAAACCCAAACGAAACGAAATATAGATCTGTATTTTAATCAGATTGTATGTAAATGTATTATTTTCTGTGGTTGCTTGTACAATTTAAACTGAACTGTTGTTGAAATTATGGATTAAATGTAGGCCTACCAGGGCAGCGACATATTATATCTCTTTTTCAGTAATTTTCGACATAGTTTACATACACACCATTTGAGTACATTTAACCCTAGATTCTTCTTATGTAGTAGTAGAATGACATACATGCTTTTGCAAAGTTTTAAAGAATTGTCTGCACAGTAACAGAACCATACGAATTTCCCTGCAATAGAAATGTAGCCAGATGTTATTTCAACATTACCATCTTTACTATAACATGGCGTGATTATTTAAATAACACCTTTACAGATGTTGATTAAAAGTTTACATTGAACCATGGTGGTAAGTTGAAAAAAGCACGGCGTCACAAATACACAAAACGTGCAGTTTTCACTAAAATTTCTTCTCATACCTTGTTATTCGTATACATAATACAGGAAGCCTCACCCTAAATAGATTCTAAACTGCGGGGAAATAGTGACCAACTGTTTAAAGTGTACGGAACAATTTAAAAATTAAAAATGATTGTTTAAATCTATTTTGTAATTATTTGAGGATTCCTTTTGACCCCCCCCCCCCCCCACCAAAACTCAAAGACATAAAACTGAATTCAAATATATAACAAGAAATGTGACGACCATCCGCCGGATCCCTTCACTTAATTTAATGGATGACTTACAATGGCCATATTTGTGTCTTGCCCGTATACTTGTCATGTGGGTTCCGAGATATTATGTTGTGCGGATGGCTCGTGTGTGACCTTTGAACGCCAATTAGAAGTTCGATTCTAAAAACCAAAGTTACACACTAAGCTAAATTCACAGAAGAAAATGTAGAACAGTTGCTCTCTACAGTTGTGAAAATATCTTTAATAAAAGGTACACGTAGGTTTGCAATGTGGACAAGAATTTAAACATGTCACCAACAGAAAGATATGGTTGAAAGACTATAATAACAATTTTAATTTCTATATTATTAACTATGACTGTAGTAACTACAGTATTAACATCTGGCTTTCACTTTATATAGTTTAAATAAAAAAAATATACCAATCAATACAAAGCGTTCATATTCTATGTATCATGATGTATCATAGTGTACTAAATATATTTCAAAGAGAAATTATTACTATGGCCGATAAACTTGAATGACTAAACCTCTTTGAAAAGGGTATAAAACATCTAATGTATATTTAATTAATGTGTTCCTTTGTTTTGTGAAGTGGGTATCTGTCTTTAACTAAAGGTCCACAGATGGATGCTTATTGTGTGTTCCACTATCGACAATTTAAGCCAAAAAACGAAATTAAAATTCACACTGACTTCCACTTAAAATTTAAGTATGTCACCAATCTCGTAATAACACTGTATTAGGCATGTATTAAAACTAAACCGCCCTAAGCGATATCAACATTCAAAACAGTTTGTGCTTAGCGGATTTCATATGACTGTATCGAAAATCGAATTGATTGACACGTTTTTAATACCAAAAACAGTAATGTAAATTCGGATTGACCTCAAATTTTGCAACCAATCTACACGGAAATAACTCAAATCACATCAATTTGCAAACGACCATTTGTCGTTAAACATACATATATAATTAAACTGCAATTATCACAAATATGTAAGAATAGGGCATATCCGTACTGTAAATATACAATGCAAAGAATAAATATAGCATTTAAACTCTTGTAAGGTCACTTTAATGTAATCTGGCTCAACATTTTATACGAAAATTCACCTTTCGCTATATTTATAGACGAGGTAGTCAGATTTTCCATTTAGTGTTTTATGTTTAAATTGTGCTTTTATTTTTACAGATAATGTGTAAAGAAGGCGGCGTCTTTCATCGTTGGCCTTCAATTTGTTGCTTATTCATAATAAAATGGATTGAATGGAGAAAACTAAGTATTGTGGATGACACCTTTTAAACGGAACTCATAAAGTCATCTTTTGAGTGACAGTCAAGTAATTGATGTCAGTTGTTAGTAGCTGAGATCATCGTCTCTACAGCTGACACAGTGGCATGTGATATACTTTGTCTACAGGTACGTACACTAAAAACATAGATATTATTATACATGTACTTATATAATTTATTGATTTATGGAAATATACCAGTTTGATTATGCATATGCGAGTGGTAGGTAAATCGATATTGACATATATATATATATATTTAAAAGGCGTCCACGTATCTTTAATTTGTACTTTAGTTGTCCATATGGAAACTTAATTCAAGTTACCTTATATATACGACATGTTTCAAATTCTCAGATATGACACATATAATAGAATAATGGCTGCAATGATTATTTGAACGTGTAAAAAATGTTTCAAAATTACATTTACAAACGGATTTTCATATTTTGTCCCTAATCACATCTCTGAACTTAGCTATAAAAAGAGTTCTGAACATGAATTCTGTGCACATTGTGGGACTCAGAGGACGAACCCGATCGATATTCAGCGTTATTCTCCTAGACCCTTGTAGATGCGATATAGGCTACAGTTTTAGACGGATTCTTTTCAAATTTAGTGCGAAGCATTGTGGTAATGAGAGGACGAACCCTATCGATATTCAACGCTCTACGACGCTCCGTTCCGGAGTTATCATTCTATGCTGAAATCCTTGTGAACGCGAATAGAGGCTACATCTTTTAACGCAATTTGTTTGTAAGCATTAGGGTCATGAGAGAATGAACCTTGTCGATTTTCATATTTTCACAACTTTCCGCTCCGGAGTAATCCCCCACGATATATGCTACGGTATTTAACAGATTTTTTTTTTCGAATATGGTTTGAAGCATTCAAACGTGACTTTCCATTTGAGAGTTAGCCCCCCCCCCCCCCCTTGCCGGAAACCTTGTGAACGCGGTATATGCTACGGTATGTTTTTAATTTGGTTTGAAGCATTCAAACGTGACTTTTCGTTTCAGAGTTATCCCCCTTTGTCGAAAACCATGTGATCGCGGTAGAGGTTAAAGTATTAGGTGGATTTTTTTTCAGATTTGTGAATCATTGTGGTCATGAAAGGACAAACCCTATGTATATTTCGTTCCGGAGTTATTTCCCTTTGCCGAAAACCTTGTGAAAAAGATAATCTGTAGTTTTAAACGGATATTTTTCAAATTCGATTGGAAGCATTGGGGTCATTAGAGGATAAACCCTTTTGATTCTCAGCGTTCCGCGACATTTTGTTACGAAGTCATCCCCCTTTTCCTAAAACATTGCGACACGATACAGGCAATACTTTTTTTTTTTACAGATTTCTTTCAAATTTGGTCGGAAGCATTGGGGTCATGAGAGAATGAACCCTATCGTTATTAAGCGTTCTGCGACTTTCCGGAATCATTCCCTCTTATGCGAAATACCTCGTAAACGCAATAAAAGCTATAGTTTTTGTAGATCTTTTACATGTTCGGTCTGAATTATTGGGGTCATCGATCCCTATCGATACTCATAATCCGCAGCCTTATACCCCTTTTGCTGAAAAAAATTGTGAGGGCAATAGCGGCTATGGGGTTTTCAATGGGGTCATAAGATGATGGACCCTACATAGATTAGAATTCTTCAAGGATCCTAGATCCTTATCAAATTTGCTCAACTTCCAAGTTTTCCTTTCGGATAGGCTGCAATTGAGACAAAGCTGCTGCGTGGGCGTATTCCACGCTTTGTATGGCTATCATTATATAAGATTAGTTCGACTTCTATATTTCATAATCACTGTCTACCCCACCTACCCCCTCTGGTTACTTTTTTACGAATACCCGGATACCACGTTAACGTTAGCTAAATACGAGTATCTGCCAATCAGAGGTACCAATTCCCCTTTTCACACATCCCTACACGTAGTCTCGATTGCTCACTTTAAAACTGAGAATGTCCAAAGAGCCGTGCCCTTTTATTAAAAGGGTTATGATGTTAATGAAGTGTATTACGTCATTATATAGCGGAAATGACGAGGATGTGAAGCCATTATAATGTAATATAAATTATAAGAGTTATAATATACATGTACTGTAGTAACAGATAAATGTCGTCTACATGTTCAACGAGAAAATATTATAGACATAATTCATACATACTGTAAAGATAATTAACATCTCACCTCTTGCACCAGCTGTTTGGTTACGCTCTTACGCTTTGCTTGTTTTAGCTTTATTCTTTACATTCTTTTACCAGTTGTAGTGAGATTAAAACCATGACAATGTGGATTGACAGTGATTATATACACGTGGCTAGATATGGTAGTGTATCACATACTGGTTTATTAAGAAACCATTCCTCTACCAAGTTAGAAGACCTCAAACCTAAAAACAGATTACCAGATGTAGATATACTATTACCTATAACGTATATCAGGAATATTGTTTATAATTTAGCGGTGAGATTTTCCCCTATCTTCTATTAAATTCCATCTAATGTGCTTTGGCCAAATGAAATGAAATGAATTGGGGTTTAACGTCCTACTGTTCTGTTCTGCTCTGAACTGGGCTAATGAAGACGGGTGCTTTGTCCGCCCAATCTTAGTCGTCGTGTGGAAATAAACATATATGCACGGTATATGCACCCCCTTCACTTAGCCCCCTGTATTGTTGCGATGAATTTTGAAAGAATAATCAGCGTTTAAGAAGCAGTCTTTATTTTTTTGTTTTCTGACCGGTAGGATTTCTGTTCAAATGTTGAAAAATTAAATTCGGCTGACCCAACTTTGTTCTTTAAAAACGAAATTGATAATTGTATTTGTTTATATTTTCAGAGAAACAATTTAGAGATGGACAAAAGAAAGATGGTCAGTTTGTTGTGTCTTGTTTTCCAAACCTCGGGATTAATTTTAACTATGAGATATTCTCGAACAATCCAGGCAGAAAGTAACAGTTATTTATCATCAACCGTGATTGTTGTATCTGAAATAATTAAACTAATATCATGTATTATTGTTATAATACTTACGGACATAAGGTATGTCTACTCTAATCATATCCACAAATATTAAAATTATTTATAGACACATAGTCTTCATCGAATCACAATTATCAAGGGTTCTTTTACGTGCACGTCAGTGTGTACACGGGGCCGCGGTTGTTCGTGCCCTCCGAACGACAAGACACAATGCCCTCTGTCCTACACACTTGACAAGAGGAAACCATGCTGAACCTTTTTATCGAGCCAGCACCTAACTCACTGGCCATCGTGGCCCCCGTTGGTGACGTATCTATTTAGTTTGCAGTTTTCATATGGAACCAACTCGGTTTCCCTTGTCAGTGGTGTAGAACGTAAGGCCTGACAAAGAGTGTCATCTTTATTTCTCTGTATTGTCCTATTGTTAATATAGTAATGTTATATATTACAGACCCTGGTATACTATAGTAATGTTAATATAGTAATGTTATATATTACAGACCCTGGTATACTATGCAGTCGGAAGTATTACATGAATCAAATGAACTAATAAAGTTAGCTGTACCTGCTGGTTTATATACATTACAGAATAATCTACAGTTTGTTGCTGTATTTAATCTAGATGCTGCTACATTTCAGGTATTATTACATACTGGTGGTCAAGGTCAGTGTCCACGTATTGGTCTGTACATAACATAGGGTGTAAAAAGTTGTTATGTATATAGGATGTCAAAGAATTGGTCTATACACAGGGTGTTAATTAGCTACGAGAACGTAGCTAAAAACGTTGAGATATACTAATGTGCTTGTTTTTAGCTACGATTGGGTGCCTTTAGTTCCAAGTGGCAAACTCAATTTCTTTATTAATTCATGTAACATCTTAAAAATAAGTTAATTTTATACTATTATGACCAATAAAACTTACAGAGGCCAATGTAGTGGCACAACTATATGCCTAACTCCAAATATTCGCGTTTAAATCAATGGGGCGTTGTTTTTTATCCGACATACACCGTCATAGATCTCCCGTTAAAAAAATGGCGTTCCTAGTAACGACTCGATTTTAAATACGATGATTTATACCCGTTTCTGGTAGGATTATATGCTTAGGAAAACTTATGGGGTTTGCACTACATGGTGTCAGTATTTCCTACAGGCCCCCCAAAATTCTGTATAATACTATAGAATTTCATCCTATAGAAACTGGAATAGCCACCCATCGCCCAACCCTCTAGAATGTTCTATAGAAAGTTACACTGGTAATCATAGGCGTACGAGCTGGGCTGGGGGGGCGCCCCCCCCCCCATTTTGGGCACCAAATGCTGGGAAAATTTTTGCACACAATTGTACTTTGTAAAAGTTGTATAAAAAAAGATATTGTGTTCTTGAATGTGTCCAATTTAACAGCGAATTTATTATTATTATGTAACATACTAAGAACCTAACTACATTTTTTGGGCCCCAACCACCACCGCCACCCCACCCCCAGTCAAAAATTTCCCCGTACGCCTATGCTGGTAATCTATGACTTTTTGCTATGGGTATACTTGTGTGACAGCCGACTTATGCATCGTTAAAACGATAACGGAGCCCAACACCTCCGTTAAATATACTATTCAAAAAAAGTAGGGGATATTTGATTTTTAAGTGTTATTAAAGTCACCTAATGAAACTGACGAAGAAACAAATGACAAAATGAAATGAAGTTCACATTCATCGATTTATTCCAAATGATCGTTAGACTAAGTAAGGCACAGACTGACCATTATAAGGGTAAAATGATACCCGGGGTCAAACAGCAAAGTTACCACAGCATCACAACCAAGTCAGTAACGGGTAAATCCTCCTCTGTTTGCCAAACAAGCAATGATCCGACGTGGCATACTCCTAATGAGACGTCTAAGGTCATTTTGGTCCAGATTGTCCCATTCCTGTTGCAACGCAGCAGCAAGTTCTTGGACATTGGCAGGACGTTGTTGACGTTGACGTAACCTCTGTCCAAGCATGTCCCAGACATGCTCGATGGGGGAGAGGTCGGGACTCAGTGCTGGCCAAGGTAATGTGGTGATGTTCTGTTGTTGGAGGTAACCTGTAACGATCCTGGCCCTGTGACATCTTGCGTTGTCATCCTGGAAGATGAAACGGCGGCCATGACGTCGTGCGAACGGCACAACATGGACTGCCAAGATGTTGTCCCGGTAGTACTGGCCTGTAACACGCCCTGCAACAACATGTAAAGCCGTTCTTCCAGCAACAGTGATGCCTCCCCACACCATAACAGAACCACCCCCAAATCGATCATGTCTGATGACGTTAACGTCTTGGAAGCGCTCGTTTCGACGACGCCACACCCTCCTACGTCTGTCCAAAAAATCAACAGTGAACCTTGACTCATCTGAAAACATCACATTGCTCCAGCGTCTATTATCCAAGTGTTGACGATCCCTACACCAACGACGTCTTGCCTGAATGTGATGATCTCTCAAACAAGGGATCACGCGAGGACGTCGGGCGCGAAGGTGACCCCTATGCAGTCGATTCCGAATCGTCTGGCCACTCACTCTCACACCAGTGTCTGTTTGAAGACGAGCGCTGATCTGATTTGCTGTGATGACACGATTTCTCAAGGCCAAGGTACGGATAAATCGATCCTGGGCTTGAGTTGTCGCCCTTGGTCGACCTGAGCGTGGTCTGTCCTGTACAGATTGTGTATCACGGTATCTGGACCATAGCCTGCTTATGGCAGACTGAGAAACATTCATCGTCCGCGCCACAACCGCCTGTGTTGTGCCGATCTGTAGCATGCCAAGGGCACGTAACCTTTCATTTTGGGTAAGCCGACGCATATCAAAATTTGTTTTCTGGTCACTAAAACAATTAAACTGATGTTTCCACCCTGGAATTCAATGCCACAATGACTGTAACATTCAAAGTCAGAGTCGTGCAAATCTTGGGTTGGACCCCCATGATGATCCCAAGCATCATCTGCATTCCATGCGGTAGCTATTGGTGCGTTTGGGCGTCACATGTAACTGGAAATGTTTCTTCTGTTAGGTTCTATAGTGACTTTTTTCGTAGTCATTTGCATATTTTAGTATTATGCCCCCAAAATCAAATATCCCCTACTTTTTTTGAATAGTATATAACGGCAAGTTAACGACATGTTAAAGTTAACGGGGTTTCCAGTCAACAGACTTTCTCTCCATTAAAGATAACGATCCATGAACTCCATGTTAACGAGTCGTTAAAAGTTAACGGAGTTTTGAACAACTGGTCCGAGGTTTGTGCATATTAGGCTAATGGCCATTGGTATGGATATAGGCGATCAACGTATTGGCATGTATTATAAGGTCCATGGTATTGGTTAATACATAATACCTGGTCAACGTATTGGTTAATACTTAATACCTGGTCAACGTATTGGTCTTTATATAGAAGGCCAATGTCATGGCCGATAGGCCTATAGGAGAGGGAGCCGTGTTGGCTCAATGAGTAAGACGTTGGCTCGCTACTCTAGAGGCCACGTGTTCGATCCCGGTGTTGGCCGAGAAAGTTCATCGGGTTTTCCGACGTGGTTCCCCCTTGTCAGTGATGCAGGTCAGAGGGCACGGTAACTGAGAAGGGACAACGCATAGTCGTTCGGATATTCTGATAAACAGAGTTCCCGTGTACACATTGACATGCACGTAAAGCATGGAATTCGATATAAGAGTATAGGCCATAGCGCCGCTGTCCGCGGGTAAGATTTCCCTCATAGCACACCGTATGGCATATGCCCGTCTTCATATGCCCAGTCGGCGCAGAACAGTCGGACGTTAAACCCCATTACATTTCATTTCATGTTGAGACCAACCTAGGGTAATATTCTGCGAGGATAATGTTTTATCAGAGAAGTAATGATCTTCATTCCATGACTTATATTTATAATAATAATGTACTAAACAGCGTTACTGGCGTGATGTATTATTACAAACAAATATCATTATTTAAAGAGATGTTTTCTATTTAAACAGGTGACATATCAATTAAAGATATTAACTACAGCTTTATTTTCTGTTGTATTTTTGAGTCGACGATTAACGAGAAGAAAATGGATATCATTAATTATATTAACATTAGGCATATCATTAGTACAGGCAGGTATTTACAATCAGTCCACAGGTACAGTTTGTTATTTACACATTTGTCATAGAGATAAAATCAAGGGTTGTTTTGTTTAAATCGTTTGTCCGGGCAACTAGTTTTCTGATGCCGTCAATTTTATCTCAGTCTTTTAGGGGTTTTCTTAAAACACTTATTGGAGATTACAAGCCTATATTTAAACTATAATTTAGAAAATATTTTAGGTGCATTGTGTGGAAGGTAAGCCCATCCACTCACTGAAGAGATATACATGTATAGTGTCCTAGCACTATTCGTAAAAGTCTTGTTTTTTTTTTAAAATAACAGCTTACATTCGTGCTAAAAAAAGTTATTGGGCGACCGGGTGGTTTAACCTTAGCTGTTGGTCGTAAGGCTTGATATCAGCGCAAGTATTGTCACCCAACGAACTAAGTAGGTTTTCTCCAGATACTCTGTTTTGCTCCCACCTTTGAGTCCTAAAATGGACTGCTTAGTGTCGGGTGGGTGTTAAACTGTTAAACTCCATTTCTCTCATTTCACGCTGTTACTAAAATGAAATATATTGGTTTTTCTTTTTTTATATTTTAGCTCTCTAAATTAAAAAGTTGCATAGCTGATAACGACCCTGCTTGTAATAACAGTGACGTTTCTGTTGGTGAAAACAGTGACAGATCGGCTTTTATTGGTCTGTTGGCCGTACTAGTAATGTGTCTGAGCAGCGGATTTGCTGGAGTGTATTTTGAAAAAATATTAAAAAGCTCCAAACAATCACTTTGGACAAGAAATATACAGTTAGGTAATGATGTTTAAACGCAATATAATATGTGTTATAATTTACAGTATGGAACATTCTCTTGAAATATTGAGTATTATATACGAAAGCCCAGAAGGGTCATTCCAAATTTCAAATGCCAAATTCATGTCTTACCAATAAAATAGCAAATTGGCAGCCCCCCTCAATTAAACAAATTAGAATTTGAATAAATTGTAATTTTACACAACTAATTAGTGCTAGTTTACCTATCTGATGCCTGGGTCTACGGAAGCTCAGAAGGCTCATTCGAAATTCCAAATGCGATCGTATAATGTGGTCGTATATTGTCGTCGCCCCCGTCCGCCCGCCTGTTCGTCCGGCGTCCACAATTACTTGTGGACTCTCTAGAGGCTAAAGTTAATATCCGATTAGTGTTTAAGGTCATGAAATGAAGAAGGCTATTGATTTTCAGCGATTTCCGATAATTACTGCCAGAGTTATGGCCCTTGATCACTTCAAAATATCTTGTGGATGCTCTAGAGGCTAAAGATAATATCCGATTGATTTTAAATTTTTACACAGTGTTTAAGGTCATGAGACGAAGAATCTATTGATTTTCAACTATTTCCGATTATTACTGCCAGAGTTATGGCCCTTGAACACTTCAAAAAATCTTATGGACTCTAGAGGCTAAAGTTAACATCCGAAATGGCGTCGGAAAAGAAGAGTTTTGATTAGTTTTTTGAAAGTTTCAATGTTCATCACGGCTCTAATTTCGCATGGCAGTCCATTCCATAAGATAGGGGCATATCGTGAAAAGATTCGGTCACCGTAAAATGTATTGTTCGCCCGACCTTTGGGGTAGGCAAGTGATGGTGCTTGGGTAAAACGGGTGGCTTTTTGTGGGCGCCTGATGTCGACGAGTTTGCAGAGATATGACGGTGCCATATCGTTCACAATCTTAAATATAGATAGTAACACTTTGAACTCAATACGTTCAACTACTGGGAGCCAATGTAATCTGAACAAAACGGGTGAGATAGACTCACGTTTTCTGGTTCTAGTAACCAAACTCGCAGCAGAATTTTGTAGACTTTGCAACTTTTTCAACTGAGTTTTGCCAAGGTTATGATACAAACTGTTACAGTAGTCCAATCTCGATGTTACTTGGGCATGTAGTCAGACATAAAAATTGGCTATGACCAAATATAGAAATATACAATAATAACAAATGATGGTAATCAAATAAAGACACATTATATCAAGCATTATATTAGCTATGATATATTTTCTATGTATCATCTGTACATACCTAGTATTATATTAGCTATTATATAAGGCGTATGTTATATATTTCAGCTGTGCTTAGTATTATATTATAGTATTCCTAGTAATTTATTTTATATATTCCATCTGTACCTGGTATTATAATTTATGTATTCAGAAATTCCTAGTATTATATTTTATATATTTCAGCTCTACCTAGTGTTGTATTTAGGTATAATTATATTATATATTTCAGCTGTACCCAGTATTATATTAGGTATGATAGGTGTAATATATGTTGACGGTAGTAACATTATAGAGAAAGGGTTTTTTCAGGGTTATACAACAATTACATGGTTTATTGTATTGCAACAGGTAGGAAACATATTTTATCGATGCCAAAAATAAAATATAGACTTATACATTTTCAACAACAGTAATACACTATATAATGTGAAGACATTTTTCAAATCTCCAGCATTCTTTTGAAGTATTTAATCTAGATAAAAACATTCTGAAATGCTATCTTTGTATTAAAATCTCCAATAACACTTGGCACTTTCAATAAAAGTCTCTGCTCAAAACATTTGATTAACGGTACTATTAGAAGCCACAGCCCAGAGGACAATTTGCTTCTCTTCACATCTGCGCACATCCATCCCACATCCCAATATCATTTCCTAGATAGCAAACCACTAAATAAACAGTGTGCAATATTTTTATTTCCAGGCATATTTAGGTTTAGTTATATCTGTGGTTATAAAATACGCTGATAATATAGTAAAAGGGTTTGCAGCAGCTATATCTATTATATTCTCTAGTTTAGTGACTGTTATCTTCCTACATGATTTAATACTTACCAGGTATGTATATATAAATATATATTGGCTACCCTACCATGTATTAAGGAAAAAATATTCTCAACTTTTATTTAAAAACAGCCATTTCTTATCTTGGAGTTTGTCCGTTAAAAGACAAAATCCAAGATGCGACATTGCAGAAATGTTGAATAGCCATTGTATCTTAATCATGAGATAGAAGTATAACATGTTATAATATAACATAATGTTGATATACAATAACTAATTATCTACCTAGTCTGTTTTATAATATCTATTTTAAAGTAAAGTGCAAGACAATATCTATATATCTAATTGAGTTCCCTTACATATAAGAACAATATCCCAAATTTTATATTTTTCAGTTGGTTTTTTATTGGAACCTTTTTAGTTTTATTGTCTACAGTTATGTATAGTGTTCATAGTTCCAGTTATTCTACAAGATCTCAAATATCTGTTAAAACAGTGTGAAATATGTGATAGAGAGTCAGTGGAGTATTGTATATAATTGTAAATATTTTAAATAAATTATCTAATGAACTAAAGCCCTGTTTTTATGTTTAAGAAGGTATGTAAAATACGTTTGATCCTGAAATCTCGGAGGCTTCAAATGTAATATGGATGTTGTATAAGTAATTATATATAATGCATCATAAACGTGCAACCCAAGCTTGATAATGACTAGAGAAGCCTAGTCGAAACGTCGCTCAGTAAAAAGCAGTAATTGTATTCCATAGAATTGTGACCTGTATATTCCAGTTCAATTACTAAATGCCATTGAAACAAAGTAAATGAAAGGCAAACTCGAGTCTTCCTAAATAGAAATACATGCATATATAAACTAATAAAACAATTGTAATGGCTTCACTTTTCAAATCCGAAAGTAATCATAAGATAGCAACGCAAAACGTAAAAATACGCCCACACAGCAGCTTAGTCTCGAAAAGAAGATTGTAGGGGGGTGTCCCTGGACAACTGTTTTGATTTGTGGGGAGGTGGGGTGGGAGATGAGTTCACGTTGATTTAAATGATGATGTCCTTAGAGCTTATGAAACATCTCTGAATAGTGTCAACATAATCACATTTTTACCCCAATTGTAGATATTGGATGAAAACTGCCGCTTGCTGGTTTATCTATCCATGTTAGCATTCCTATCGGTTCTTGCATAAGATTTACTGTTTAGCGTATCTTTGCTTTAATGTGTTACGTTTAATTTGATCGGGAGACGTGTTCGTCGACGTCAACGTCAACCGACAACACTGCAAGAATTGGCCGTGGCACTGCAAGAGGAATGGGTCAGATTGCCCCAAATCGGGATTGGACAGTTGATTAGGAGCATGCCACGACGATTTGCTGAATGTCTGAGGATTGGTGGAGCAATTACTCATTATTAAGACAAAAATCAAAAACGTCCATTTTCACTTTTGACAGTGTATCTCTTTGCGAGTGAAATGGGGCCGTCATATAAGCCGCCCATTTGAACTGTTTATGTTCATGTGTAGGCAATTGGCCCGTTATCAACATACACTGGTTACCTCTAATAAAAACAGTAGTGCATTGCCGCAGTTTTGTATTGTTTCTGAATATTCCCTACTTTTTTTGAAGAGTATATATTTTCAAATCACCCAGTTTGTACGCGGGAAGGTTATCTTTAATAAACGTCCAACTAATAATTTATATAACATTTAAGGACAAAAGAGAGACCTGCAACAGGTTTGAATAATTAAAACAGCATTATGAATAGTTGAAACCCAAAATTTATTCAATAAACAAGCAGCTGCCATGCAAGATATGCCATATTTTGCAAGGGATGGACAGAACAAGCTAAAACATCAATTTTTGTACAATCAGGGACCATAATCCAAGATGTTACCTCCAATGGTTTTTAAAATCAAATAAAAATTGTGACATCTAGAGAGGCCACAAGCTAAACATGTGATTTTTCGTACAATCCGGGGCCATAATACAGTAAGTTACGTCCGATATGCGCCAATATTGAAAGGATCCGGGATGTTTTGGATATCAACATGTTTTAATTTCCATCAAAATTTGAAAAAAAGAATGTGGGGGTATAAAAATCATGATGAAGAAAGACAATTCTCATAAAACATCAATTTAATACTTATTAGAATGTGAAGAATATATAAAAGAAATATATAAACAAAAGAGTTAGTAGTATGTATACTCTATAAGCTCCACTCAACGTCAACACAAGGATTGATATAATATGAGTATCATTGCCATATATTTAAGGTAATTGGCCATAAACCAACCAAATGTGACATCAACTACCTTGTTACCTCATTATTTTACAAAATTTTGTACTGTACAATAAAATTTCTGATACTTTTGATAATGAGGGCAACTAAAATATCCCCTGTGAAGGAAACCCATTATCTACTTGATTCTATTTTTGTTATTCCACATCAAAATTAAATATAATTGCATAATTATATTTTGTAATTCATGTATATAAAAGTTCTCTATAATCAGTACAACTATTCTGGGAAATAATGTCGCAGGGTATTTGAGGTCATATGTAGTGACTTATTTTTTGCCCACTGTCTTATCTTTATAAACTCTTATTCTGAGTGATAACACTTACAGAATACTGAATTAAAACCAGGAGTATTTTACTGATAAATCTCTTGTTCTTACATTGCTAAAGAGACTGTCCATTCAAAAAAAATATATAAATCATTGTACACAATTACAACATAAGTATAAAAAGAATAGAAACATAAATACAACATACTATATACACAAATTAATATTAAAGTGTTTTGGGATATTTTTTTGATCAAGCTGCAATGTTAAAATGACATGAAATGATATTAAATGCAAAACAGTTAAAATATATGATTCAAATAATCAGTTTTAACAAGCATGTAGACAGACACAAATAATCATAAATAAAAACATTGATCTTTTTAATTTTATTACCAGCTTATTCTTGCTAAAGATGGAAAGGGTAAGACATATTTTATAAGATCCACAACACAATTTACAGGCATACACCTAAATGCCACTCAAGGATTATATTTTATACAGAAGTATTAGGTCACACATCACTCATCATGCCAGGACATGTGACACCTATTTGGTGCAATTAGTTGTTTGAAGCAAGTGAATGAACAGAAAATTACAGATAAGCCTCTGTACCACTCTACTTAGCAGAAGTTTCTGTTTGTGATATACATCTATTATGTAGAATATAACAAAAAGAGATAATAAAACAGTGCATTAATATCTTGTACTCTTATTACAAAATATATACAGCATAGCCACATTCTATATGTCAATGTTCAACACATTGGTCTCATATTATGCACATGATTGACCTATTGGCAGCAAACAACCAATACAAACGAATCCTTCTATGGTATATTAAGAACATAAAACAAGATAATGTAATATATTTTAGTTAGTTTATCCTATAAAGTTGTCAGTGTATATATAAAGTATGAGTCTATAGACATTCTAAATGTAGTTGTACTGTGTATTATAATACATGATAATATATATTATTATGCTGTAGAACACACAATTTACACGAGGAATCTGAAATAAAAAATACATATTTTTAAAGCACCAGCATACCAGAATAAAGATCAAATATAGAGTTCATAAGACTGTACACATTGTACCAAAATGTTTTTTTTTAAAAAGTACTTGTGTAGTACACAAGTACTTTTTAAAAAAACAACAGAAACCATTATGAAATTTAAAAGACCATAACTTAGCCTGAATTTTTTGACTTTGAGAAAAAAACATTTGGACCAAAATGGTTTGTTTTAAAAAGTACTTCCAAATTCTTTTTTCTCCAAGTTATGGTCTTTAAAATTTCACAATGGTTTCTGTTGATTTTTTCATATAGCCATGTTTAGTTATACAATATGTCTTTAATCTTTACATTAAAATACATTTTACTTTTCAGATGTATGTGATTTATCAGGTTTATTGTTATTTAACCACCATTAAATTTATAACCAACATCGTACATGTATGCAAAAATCATGCTTTTTATATGGAAAGCATCATTTTGATAACTAGGGAGAATTTGACATTATCTCAGATGACAAAACTAGGTACATAAATAATGACATCATGAAATTTGTTTAAGCTACCCAGATGTTGTTTCTCTATCAAAATTTGGACCTCTATTGTCATAAATCGTGGAAGTTACTGTAACTCTCAAAATTAACTTTTTTTTCTTCTGCAAATTAAATTCTAAAATAATGTTTTAAATTATTAAGAAAAAAAAAATAAATGTGTTGAAAGTATATCTGGATAAAAAATATTTCCTATTGTGTGTAAATGGGTACATGAAAAAATTTGGGAAGGTGTAAAAGGTGTCATTCTGCCCGGATCAGTTTATGTTATTAGACCGATGTAAATGATGTAAATAACGTCACATGTAGATATACATGAACTTAAAGGTCAGTCATCCTACTGTTAAGTACCCTTGTGAACAACTGTCAACAAAATTGGTTATCAGAATGCAGCAGTTATCAGAATACAGCGTTGCTAGTATATAAATGATAGTTACTTCCCTTATAAACAGACAACGTCCACTTGTTTGTTTACTTCCTGTTTGACATGTAAACAGTTAAAAATCAATTGTTTCTTCTTGTAAAATCATAATAAAACGTGATAGAGATTGGCCTAATCAACAAATTATTCATCTAAATAATTAAACAGGATTCATGCTGAATTTTAGTTCACAACAGCCACAAAAAAAAAAATGGAAATCACAAATATACATGAATATTGCATGAAATATTTAACACATATCATCACAGGTTGCATGGAAATAAGTAATTATGTTACAAATAGTGAAGAGTGGAACACTGAAATCTTAAACTTATCTTACCGAACAGTTTTTCTGTATTTTTGAGTGACATATAATCACATGATTCTGGTTCAGTGGCCTTTTTAAAATGAACAGAAATTTTGCATAGCAGTTGATTTTAATTATGCGGTAAGGTTTCACCTTTATTTCAATGGGAATTGGTTTATTTTATGCTAAGCTATGTACAGTACACATTGGGGTCAGTGTAATTGGAAATTAAGGGAGTTAAAGGCCAGTAACTTTTTTTGTAGTCATTTTACTACAAAACTTGCTCAAAGGAAGGCCTTAGGACAGTACATCAGACATCAGTAGTGGAACCATTTCTAACCAGAGACAAGATAATGTAGGGAACGAATGGGAATAAAGCAACTTAATGCCAGGTAAAATTATATAAAGAATACAATTCGCTTCAATTTAAATATGTCACATACAGGTAAAACTACCTCAACTTTCTGTTATGTTTTGTAGAAAATAGTTTTGATTTTCCAGGCCTGTCTATCAGCCAGAGAACAGTCGTTAGATTGGTTTAGCGCAACTAATTTCAAAGCAAGGGCACGTAATCTATTTTGCACTAAAAAATGTCCAGATGTAATGTCTACATGTCGCTTTCCTTTCCAGTCTAGTTTTTTTTAATGATGTTTAAATTGTTCATGACCATTGTGAAGAACTAAGTTACGACTTGTTACATAAATAAATTGGTATAATTGTCAATATATTTGGAGATATTTATTTATGGTGAGGCACCCTATAATTGGGTTTCCAAGAATATTTCAATATTTTCTATATTATAGACATTATAGACAGAACACGGCTGCCCTATTAAAATTTCGTATTGCAATCAACTAGTTTTGTAGGTGGTCTGATGTGGGGCGAAACAGTATTATATGATATTTCGATTATTTTCAAAGTTCAAAAGTCATACAATATAAAACTTACCATTATTTTATAAAGCAAAAACTTCATTAAAAGATTTAGTTAAAACACTGATAACTGTATCTAGTTCAGTTGATTCTAACTGACAATTAACAGCAATACGAATACTGAAAATATAATGTATTAAAAAGTTAGGAATTATCTTGAGATTTGTGGCATTCAATGGAATGGGGTTTGATATTGGTGAAAACAATACTTCAGTCATATTGAGACTATGGTAACATTTCATTTCTAGGGTTACATGTGGGTTTTTTTTTTACACGAAAGGTAATGTGTATACAGGTAATTTTGTGTTTTATCCCAATTACTAAGCACACTTTCCATGCCAGTCACACAGACACGATTCCTGACAAAAGAGGCCTCGGCTTGAAAAGTCTGTAAATGGCCATATAAAAGTGGTATGTACTTGCAGTGTGATTATATACACATTATACCAATTTCTCACCACTCTAATTAAAATTATTTGATATAAACGTTTAAGTGTTAGACCTTTATGAGAAAGAGAAACTGGGTTTAACTTCCACTTGACACAACCTAGGTCATTTCGTGACTAACATATGGTACAATTTTAATCTAATAAATTGCTAGTGAATAGGGGTCTTTAACAGTGAGAGGAAACAGGACGACCTAGAGAAAATCAATGAGATTAGGCAGACTGTGCTACTTCTTGTCACGCCCAAGTGTGGGATTGAAATACTCCACTTGACTTGATAACAGACCTTATGGTTTAGACCACTCGAACCCTTCTTTATACACCTTTAGACATGAATTTTTTTTTGCTACCTCAGGAAGACCGTGTGAAAATAAAATAAACTTCAAATTTGCTACATACCTAGGAGGTGGAAGAAATTTCTCTTCTTTTTCTAGATATCTGGCTACAGTACATGCCACATTATTCTCTATAGCCTAATAATATACAATTAACATGATACATATCAATAATAATCACTATTGTACCTGACATTTATATTTTCCTGTAAAAACACAATAACTGAACATTACTTATCATATTAATAGCTAATAATAGGGAGTGCTTTTGGATGGATATATATTTTGTGTGTAAAGCACATTTAGTTGCCCCCGTGAATATTTCTTTGCGTTGGAAAATTATTAAAATAGTGTGATGGCGACCCGATTCTTATGAAGGAAATGATAACAGGTTAAAATATTGGGTGATCGTGCTAGACATTTGTACCAAGCTAATTAATGAAAAGTAAATAAGAATGAACATGAATAACATCCAATAAAATATGCAGTTGGGGAGAGCCATTATGGAGAACTGAGGAGAACAATAAAATATGCACCTAGATTTGGACTTTAATAGGTGAGCGATGGAGCATGAGAGTGCCTCAACCGTGCAGACCCGAATAACATTTCCATTTATAAAGTATAAAAGTAATCGTACTCCTAATGATTTTGTATTAACCAAATGCTCATAACCATTGCTTCAGGAATATTTCCATGCTATTACTTGTCCATTGTAACCCACACTCAAGTTTTATTGTCCACAAAGAAGACTATGACCTACCCTATCAGCAACTAGTTGTAATGTTTGATTATCTAGATCTCTATCATCTGATGGTTCAACAAGTCGTAGATGTTTGACTGGTGAGTGTGGTAAACCTACAACCTTAATGCCATTTATACTGAAATTAATAAAATACATAGTGACAGACTAAGTCATTTGATTTTAAAATGGCTGGAACAGGTTTTCGGTTTCAAAATTTTGCGTGTGAAGATGATTTTAATTTGGGTTTAACAGAGCCACAAATTGAGTCACAAGAAGCTGTTGTCATGTTCAGGAAATAGACTTATGAAAAAATATGACAAATAGTTTATGGAGTAAATTACAATTCCCAATCCCAAAGAAATTAACAATATTTCCATTTGATACAAATTTACAATATTCTCAGGTTAAATGTGTATATAAAAATTCATTACTTAATAATTCTCTTAAAGTTTAGTCAAGAAGATAATTGGAATGTATTCTTACTTAGTCAAGCCTTCATGAAGTTTTATACAGTTTTCTCTTAACTTGATCATCATACCTAAAATAAAAATAATCCTTCATACATACACAATTTTATACAATCTAACTTGAACACAGCTGAAGTTTCTGTACTGTCAAAAACTGACCAAAATACCCAATGCTTCATTAATTTCATATGCACAAGGCCTCTTCAGACAGTTGAGGCAGGTTATATTTTGATATGAAAATCAGATCATTAATCTGTGTAGAGAGATATCAGATGACTATAAATAATAATAATAATAATAATATCTACCAGGATCTTCTTGCATTAACATCAAAGCTTGAGCAGCAGCAGCAGCTAGTAATGGTGGTTGAGATGCCGAGAAACAATATCCTAAACCTGATAATCTCTATATATAATATAATAACATATTTTATTTTTATCATTCTATTCTCACAAAACAACAAACAGTGACCATGAATCCAAAATGAGAATATCAGGTGACAAGGCATGCACCAACTAAATAAGAAATGATTTCACCAATCTCAACAGATCAAATACACATTTTATTTTGACACTATTCTATTCACAGCACATCTCTTATATAAAAATTTACTGGACCATGACAGAAATGATTTCAATACTGTTAAAAAGCTAAATCCCACCACCTACCCTGTCCACCACTTCTGATTTGCTTCGCTTTTTAGAAATACAGGCAGTGACGAAGGTAATTAAATCACTTATTGAACATAGCTACATATTACTAATTAAATTTGTAATCCTTATAGAAATAATGTTCAAATACTAACAATGTACTAACCTGATGATCTATAACATATTTTTTACCCACACAGAATCCACCAATAGAACTAATAGCATTTTCTAATGATGCAGTTATCAAATCTATCTGATCAACCTATATAGTACATATAAATATAGGAAATAACAATATCTGAAGACTAGAAATTGTGGACAATTAGTGATTACTATGTAGAGCTGGGCGATATCCCTGAAAACAAATATCGCAATATTTTTTAGAAAATATCGAGATATTATCAGTATATTGCGATATTTTATAAAATGTCAGTAATTTATTGTTTATCATACTTCAACTGAAAATAAACATGCATAAAAAGTTGGACATACCCTCTGATAATTCACTTGACATTTTGTAATCAACATTATTAAAAATTAAGCATAAATATATAATATTAACAAACAAATGATTGGGTTCAACATAGATCTAGCCACGAAGACTATTGGTCTATATTGTTGTTGTTTATTACAATTTTAAAGTTCAATACATTATTTATGATATTATGGACAGGTTGATTTAATTAAGATTATTTACATATGAAGGGGGTATAAAATGGGTAATAAAAACATGTGCATTTTTATAGCTACGATTGGAGGATATTCTTAAACACATGCAACAGACTCGTTTTTCTAATCCAAGTGTAAGTCTTTTCGAAAATGAATTTTACATTTACCATTCAATACAAGAACATTAAATTTTAAACTTTGAAAAATCAGTGTTGTCTAAAAAAAGAGTTTGTTTAATTGCGGATTTAAAAACATCAATGTGGTGTAAACAAAGCACTAACGGTGTTTGCTAACTTCATGGTATGAACACTCTGGAGTTTGTAACGTTATTTATTGCTATTTACTCATCATTAAGCAATAAAATATGGCAAATAATATGAATAGAAAACACTTTTTCATAGAAAAATCAAAACTGCAATATACTGCGGTATGTTCGACCTTTCGATATTTGTCTGAAGACTGTATTTTTGATGGTTTTTATACAGAAAAAGTGAAATATCACCCAGCTCCATTAGTATGTGACCAATACATGCACAGACAAAATGAAATAAAATGAAATGGGGTTTAATGTCCTACTATACACAGACGAATTCAACTCTAATTGTCTTTGTTACATTACCTAGGCATGAACATGTCTTAGTCCCCCTCCCCCTCCCCCCCCCCAGTAAAAGATTTGTTAGGACATGGAATATGTGTATTGATAATTTTAAAGAATTAAAAGTAAATCATCAGAAACAATGTAGACAAATTTATGGATTAGCATTGTCCAGATATTTGTTCAGCGGAAATAACTTCTATACGCACATAAAACTGATGTACATCACACTGATGCTTTAACCATGTTCGCTTATCTAGTGACAATCATTTATTTTTGTAATTGTCAGATATCCTCTCACAGTCTCATATAACAACTTTTCGTCATCAGTGAGCTGAAATTCTAACTTTTATCTATTATCGCCCATTCCTTCAGTAAGTTATATATAAGGATAACTTGTATTTTCCATTATTTGCGTCACTTCTCGTTTCTTCAAATCTTCGTTACGCACCTACCATAGCAATGATCTCTGTGTTAAAAATTATATTTGGAATGTGTTTAACCAACACTGACACCAACACTGTCCTTTAATAGTTCCTCCAACCCACTCACACCGGCACATTATACACAGATTATATTGAAACCAATAAAAATCCACATAAAATGTTAAATAAAGTATATGTATCATAAAGACCATAACTATAACATTATATTAACTTACCTCAATTCCAAAATATTCAGTCACACCTCTACCTGCCTCTCCTAACACACCAAAAGAAAAACTTTCTTCCAAGAAGATTCTGACTTTATATTTCCATTTTAATTCCACCTAATGAAAAGAATAATGTGTGCATAAGATCCGTAAAAGCTTTAGTCTCAAACAGGAAGAGTAATATGAATACAGAATTTTATATTATTTTGTCTTCCACATCTATGTGGCTTCACTGAGATCATATCAGTTAATCTTATATCCAGTTACACCCACGCCAGGAGGTTATTTCACTTAAATTTTCTCTTCAAATTTTAATTTATTTTTTAGCACTTATGTTTAACATCTGTAAATTTCTACCCTATATATGAAGCCTACTTACAATTTTGGGAAGAGGACAAATATCACCATAATTTAAATATAAGCCTTCTACAATAATAAATCTTCTTGTTACTTTAGCTTTCTTTGGATTCTGAAATTTACAAAAATATCACATCTCATGAACAAACAGATGACATGTACAAACCAATACACTAATATTCATATATCAAAGGTTACTTTAGGATAACTGTTCTAAATAACTACTGATTTGTTGATAACTTTATTATTGATAACAGACTTTTAAATTTATGAGACTTAGGTTTTAATAAAAGATTGAAAAGACTCAACTGATATGCACAGAGACTTCAGCTTAGTGCAATTGGGAAGGGTCATCATGGCTTCCTACTATAGTTATAAAAGGAAGTCAGCATAAAACAAGTCTAGTCAGTTGACGCAAGAAGACCTTGTACGTCTGTATAAAAATATTATTAAAGTTTATCAAAATGTTACCTTCTTATCTTTAACAGCTTGTTCTTGTAGCAATCGTTCTAAATCTTCCATATCATTATGTTTAAAGAACTGTATTTCACTTCTAGAAGCTACTAAACCTTTCTGTATAGCAAAACTAACACCTTCATCACTACAATTAATATTATATAATTCATATTTAACATTAATCTCACTCCAGCTATCTTCCCGAAGCAGATATTTATGTATTTGTTTATCAGTTTTTCCACAATTTCTCAAAAATTGAAACCAAAATATCTTTTAACATGCTGGATGGAAAGTCAAAGTACCAAATTCAACTAAAGAGAATGTAAGTATTCATCACTTTCTAATATTTTACAGTAACAATAAGTGTATAACTTTACAAGAAGTGATTCATAAATTACTCTCTAACAAGTAGACATATTTACTCTTTCAAAATGTTACAAGTCATCTTCAATAGAAGGCTTGATCTCGCTTTAACTACGTACATTTTATCAAGGCCTTCACGTAATACCCTGCATATTTCGGCACTAATTTCGATTGGGTACAAGCCCAGCTTGTGAGCCTATCAGATTCCTCGATCGTCGCGAATACCAGGTCTCGAGCTTTCAAGCTAGAATGTCTACATGTGATAATCAAGTTGCAAATTTCAAGGTTCATTCAATGTCAAGGTTTCCGTGAAGGTCGCGATGTCACAACCTCTGATTGGACGCTACTGCTCAGGTGTCTGTAGATAACATAGCTATAAGTTGGGGAATTGTGATGTAACCAAGCAACGGCCAGATGTTGTAAAACTCGCAGTCGTTGCTTCAGGAACATGGTATAGAATATATAAGTAGTTATTTACCAAAAGATAACATCTCCTCTCTTTGAATAAGCTGGTATAGCACTAGATATAGTAGCAAATCCATAGGAATATATAATAGCTTCTTCACAATCCATAAATGTTGCCAATTTACTTTCTAAATCTAGATGAACATCTGCAAATATAAAGACAATTATCAGCAATGAGTTTATTTGCCTTTACAAGAGCATGTTTTTTGGACAGATTTAGTGGTCTCTCAGTGTACATTATTATTATTATTATTTACAGTCAGGATTATTAAATTCATGCATGCATGCCACAGTTTTTGTTGATGCTCATCATGTTGTTAAAATTTAATGTAAATCTATATTTGTGATGGCATTTTAAAATTAAATAATGAACAGTTGTAGTCCTACCCATAGTTCCATAGAATCCTCTAGGTCCACATGAACCAACACCATACTTCTTTATACATCGTACAGCTTCATCCTGAATAAAACACATAAACAACCTGTACAAATATACAATAACTGTATCCATATTCTTATCTACCTTATCGTAAGAATAATGCCACATTTCTAATTATTCTATAGAAATATCTCTAATTCTGACTTTAATAACAACAGTATTTTTTATTACATCTCTAAAACTAATAAAAAATAAAAATAAAGTTACAGACTTCTGAAGTCCAAAGCTTTTATTAAAGCAAAATTAACACCACTGTCATACATTTACATTTCTACTGTCTTTTTGTCATAAATTTTGACAAGACATATTCATTACTTTCTTGTATATTCAGTTTTAGATAGGTCCATGGCCGGGCTGAAGTAGTGCAGTTTTCGTGCAAAGAAATTTGTAGAGTGGCAATTCATTGTCAAACACAAAATCACAGTGATGTTTTTGTAAGAATATCTTTGTGTATGTTTAAAGACACAGAGAAAGTTCAAAGCAAGTAAAATGATTGAGAATTTTTCTCATGAAACATTACCCAAATCAAAACCGTTTCATAAAGTTTATATAAAAAATGGGTAATAATTGCAATTGCTGTCATATTTTTTTCGGTGGGGCGTATCAGTCCCGTCGGGCAGATTGTACACCTATATGGGTCCTGGTACCAATGCGTTTTTTCCAAATTTATGTGACTTTTTCTTTGTGAATTGTTTGATATTTCTGAATTTATCCTTTTTATAGATGACACAGGGATTTTAAATTACAAATGGTCTGTGAAATAATATATGTTTTCAGAAAATCATGGTCGATGTGAGGTTTGTTCTAAGAAAAACATCGAATCTCGCCCTCGGAGTAAATGTGTTAAATGTAATGTACATGTATTCTTATGCGGTAATAAATCAAAAAAAATGTTTTCTAGATTTTCATAGTGCGGTTGGAAATTAACTATACATTTGTATTCAAGTTAAAATTGTTTACGCCTTTAATTGAATGAATTTAACTATGGATTATTGTTTCAAATTGTTGAGAAAATATAGTTGTCTTTGTTTGAATTGTCTGTTTAGTGTTGCAGATTTAAGTTATGATGAAAATACAGATTTCAAGAATAATTTAAACTTTTTTGTCTTTTTTGTATTGAAAATAATTTACCCCTGTTGTGGATACCCTAACCAAACCCAAATCATCTATAAAATATCATAAAACAAGGAAATATTTTAAAACGTAACTACTTGGGCCTGAAAGGGTTAACAGTCTGATTTTATAAACATATTGGTAATGTGAATGTATGAATTTCTGATTCTTCTTTCGTAAAATGCAACTGGGGATAGCTTTCACTTCAAATCGTTATAAGCTGTAAAGATGATAACTCATTCATAGTTACCTCAATTGTTTTATTGGCAACCATACCCAGAAAATTCATTGTAGCCATGTTGATACAGGATTTCTGTCTAATATTGATATATTTACCTGGTGGGCTGAAAATAAACATAATTAAATACAAAACATGTATATAATAATACCATGTAAATAAAACAAAATTTAAATGTTCTCTAAATATTTTCTCTTTTGTGGTCTAGAAATGGCATGGGATGCATTTAATAACGAAATATAGACTCAAATTGTTATCAATAGACATCATCTTACAAGTGTGCTACACATATATCTGTGACTATTTCAAAAGTAACGAACGTCAAAAAAGTATCACCTTGGCTTGAATTATCTTCAAAGATATTTGTTTAAAGCAATACCGATATTTCTTCCAATCAGTAATGCTTTTAAGACACAAAGTGGATTTTTTCAAGGAAATATGACAATTTTGCTCTCAATATTGATATTTTTTTTGGAATGCCCCATATACAAGATGTTGAAACAATATCTATAAAACCCCCTTTTATTGGCTTAGAAATACGACAACTATAAAGATGTGCAAGAAAATTCTCATTCTGAAGAATCATAAACATGAATTTCATAAAATATGCCAGATACAATCGTTTGACTCATCACCAATGACAATTTGATATGGATTAAAAGAAAAGCTAATAAAGTTTTACCAAGTAGTTACTTGCTGAAATGAAATGAAATGGAGTTTAACGTCCTACTGTTCTGCTCCTAACTTGGGCTAATGAAGACGGGCATACGCCATACAGTGTGCTATGAGGGACATTTTGCCCGGACAGCGGCACTACGGCCTACTCTTATATCGAATTCCAACTGCCAAGGGATATTTTACGTGCAAGCCAATGTGTACACGGGACCTCGGTTTTTCGTCCCATCCGACCGACTAGACAGCTTTCCTTGTCAGCCCCTCCGTCCTGCATCACTGACAAGGGAGAACCACGCCAGTTACTTGCTGCTTATGGTTCGTAATAGAATAAAATTTAATTCCATATGCTGGCCACATGAATTTAAAGGAGCTAAATCGCTAACTCAATATTTTCAATCAAATTCGAAATTTATAACACAAATTAAATTCAAAATTTGTCCATTTCAATCAATATTGAAGGTTTTATCTCGCTGTGAAAATATGGGAAGCAATATCCAATATTTAAGACAAAATGGACATTTTAAAATCAGTACATGAGTTGTGTATTTCTATGATTTCGGGTGCCATTTGTAATGAACAAAGAAAAACAAATCCTACAAGACAAGTAATTAGTAATGGCTGATTCAAAAACGACAAAATAATAACAAAGAAACATGTAGAGTTGACTAAGCATTAAAATGTGCTTTTAGACCCATTTTCGTCCATTTTAAGGTTCCAGAGACTAGAGCCATACGTCCTGTAACTATAGTATAATGCGACACAGTATAATATAAGTTGATCACAGATTCAAAGACTAATTTATTTTCAATGGGATATTACTAGATATTTCAGATACAGAGACAAGAATGACATTATGAGCTGTGAATACAACAATAGCTGCCCAAATAAAAATAATATATTATGTTTTACATCCTCATTCCTATCAAAGTAGATAAATGTTTGTTTACCCAGTAACAATATTTTTTTCCATTAATTGTATGACAGGATGATCTTCTGGTATATCTGGTACCAATGGTTCTGGTGTCCACTCTGCTATAAGTTCCTCTTTCTCCTGTAATTAATATATTTCATTCAGAGTTGCATTCAATATCATCACAAGGAAAGTAACAAAGGATTGGTAATCACACTTTTGGTAATGGTAACTGGAACATACTGGTACATTATGACTGACATTACGTGATCATGAAAATCAAATAAATTTTATAGTTAAGATGTGTCCTTTAGAAATGACAATCAGGGCTTGCCATGAGATGCGAGCGATCACTCACACATACACAAAACTTGCGAGTAGATAGTTTCTCGCGCACATCGTTCAATAAATTCTAATGTCCTCAATCAACCTGCTGTATGTTACAATTACGTCACTTTCTAATCCATATTGAATAATGAAAACACATCTGATTATGTCAGCACACGATGTCAGAGAGGTCACTGTTTAATTTTTAGCCATTGGTTACATGGGGATTTCAAACATACCATTACCAGTCTAAATTGAATTTTTATATAATCTGTAATATTATGGCCCCCGAGTTCACAAAGCATTTTCAGACTTTAGTTAAGAATTTACTCAAAATTGTTTGGTTTATTTTAACTACAATATAACCCTTTATAGAACTTGTTTTTTTATTGTATCAAATACATCAATAAGAAACTATATGCAAAGTTTTATGAGTCAGGATAAAGAATATTTCTCATAAACAGTCATTGAAAGTTGGGTAAATTCTCAACTTAAGTCTGCTGAATGCTTTGTGAACATGGGGCATGGTAATATTGTCATTATTATAGTCCATAAGTAATGGTGCTTCACTTATTCACTTTGTTACTGATTAAACAGCTATATTATTCCACATACGATTTTTTGTCTTCATTGGTAAGCGGCCTATTGCTCATGTAAAGCAAATTTGCGTGAGTAAATTTAACCACTCGTTATACTCGCCTAAGGTTAATTTTGCGTTAGTGGTTAATTGCTTGCCATCATTTTCTTTGTGGCAAGCCCTGACAATACTTTAAATGTGCAAACTTACCTTTTCTGAAAGAACCATTTTTTCTGGTTTATAGCTCTTCGAGAATATCAACTTTATTATAAGTAGAACTAAACATACTTCGACAACTAGATGATAAGTAGGTGTCTGAAAAGTTAAGTATGTTATTTTAGTGTATATGGTTGTAAAGATTTTTGTCATATTTAGCTTTGTTACAACCCAAGTATTCAATACATGATAAATACATTTAAAAAATGCATAACGGTAAGTAATTGAGCAACATGAAGCCCATGTGTTCACAGTATTGGCTTAACTATCCAGATTTTATGAATCAAAGAAATTCTTGTTTTATTTTTTTGAACACAGAATTAATTTGAATTATGTCTTTTTTTCATGTGGCAGTGGGCCTTAATAATGAACAAAAATGTATAAGCCAACAACTAAAATTTGCAGTTCTTGTCTCTTGATAGGCTAAAGGTGTATTCAATCATCCAAGTTATTTCCTCGCCGGAATCCCTTGAGGCTTCTCTGTTGCTACAGTGAGGGATATTGATAAGCTCGTAGAGGGAAAGAGGGTGTGTGTCTGAGGGGCTCTGTTGAGGATTCATGCTTTTTTGGATAGTTTTATGCTAGCTATGTTCAAAATTGTATTCATTCATTCACAATGCATCTTGTGTGTTACAGTTTAAAACTTCTTGGTACGTACATGCTGGGATCGAAACCAGGTCACCTGACATGACAGATCTTGTGATCTAAAGCTTAACTATATGGAAAACACCCTTTCCCGGCAACTTACTGCTTTGGAGAAATGGTGAAATCATGGAATTATGGGAACCATAGTAATTTAAAGCCTTGTTAATGTTAGCATTTTTCTTATGACCTAGGGCATGCAGGGCCTATGATATTTCGGACTGACGACCTTTCGCACTCAAAAAAATATGTCCTCAACGTTTCGGACTCGAGAAAGTGACATTTTCCTGTCGGAGGAAACCGGAGTACACCCACAAGGTTGAGAAGGCACCCCTATCTCCAATTAGCCACATATGCTCACACCAGGGATCGAAACCACAACCGCAAGCCAGAGGTAGAGCTCGAAGTGCGGCACTACTAGGCCATCCCAACCCCCCCATTTGGAGAGCATGCACAATATGAATAAATACTATCAGTGTAGACTGGAATAACCAGAAGCTAGAGATTGCCATTTGATTGAGACTTCTGGTGTATTTCACCGAACAAAGATAATTAGAATTTACAGTAAAAACAGAAACGATTGAATGTGAATCAGTTTATATACATCCATGAATCATGGTCATATTACATTATTTTAATCATTATGCAATATATATGCGTTGTCTTCAGTCTTGTGTCAATTTTTAGGTCCCAAATAATCATTAGCGATTTAGCTCCTTTAAACCAAACATAAAACATTTTAATAATTGAATATAAAGATAATCACCCGTAAGAAACTTTGTACAAGATCGTACATATCCCAAGTAGCAGGTAATATCGCCATCGTTGAGCTCATGGTTGACGCCTTTGCCACAATTTTGTTTAACCAGCCGAATGGTCGTATCAATAAATGACTGGATTACGGAGACTAGACTACCATTTCGGCCTCCGGGAGAAGATTCCTAGAGAGTTTGAAATAAGGGAGATAAGCCTGTAGTAACCGCTTGTGTTGTGTAAACAGCCCAACATTGGCAACAAATAAACTTTTACATAACACTTATTAAAATGATAATAATAATAATATTTTTATTTCGAAAGGGTGAAGAATCTAGGTCTGTATGTTTAGACATTTCTGACATGTTGTGCCCACCAGATCCCCCCGGTCTCCGACTTCCGACCCATCCCCATAATTCAAATTGGCATAAATAAATATAAATAATAAAACTATTAAAATATAAAACAGATAGGCAGAGAACGAATTGTAGGCTATCTAGTAGTAGTATCTATATATAACTTTAAAAATGTTACGACTAAGGCCTACAGTTACTGGTACAGACTTATTAATTAATAACTTACCTTAGCCTAACACTAGATCTAGCCTATAGCCTGCCGTAAAAACTTAGTTGGTGTTAGCCATTATAACATAAGCCTATGTCATCATAGATATAATAGTAGACCTACAGTTCTTTCTATGATGTCATGTGATCATCTATACTGTATATAACTCTATGCATGTGATAGAACAGGTTAAACACATTTGAAGAAACGATAAGTGACGCAAAAAACTAGAAAACACCAGTTATCCTTATATAAATATACTAGCAGGATACCCGGCTTCGCTCGGGGGTCATAACTCCGAAACCGAAAGTGGTAGACTAACGCCACTTGGCCTATGTTACTCCCCGGTCCGAGCTACCCCTATACCCCAAATTTCAGACTCGGGGTAGAGCTAGTGTAGCTGCCAACCCCGAACAGACCAGCTTCGCTCGGGGGTCATAACTCCGAAACCGGAAGTGGTAGACTAACGCCACCTGGCTTATGTTACTCCCCAGCCCAAGCTACCCCTATACCCCAAATTTCAGACTCGGGGCAGACCTAGTGTAGCCGCCAACCCCGAACAGACAGACAGACAAACGACAGTCACAAATATATATATAGATAACTGACTGAAGGAACGAGCAATAACAGATAGGCCTAGACGGTTGAATTTCAGCTCACTGATAATTCAGTTGAAGACGAAAAGTTGTTATATGAGACTGTGGTGAAAGGATATGTGACTGAAAATTCAAAAAAAATTTGACTGTCACTAGATAAGAGAAAAATAGAAAAGGCCCTTGTTTTTATCCATTGTATAGGCCTACTTAATAAAAACATGGTGATGCACAGACTTTTTTTTCGTTTTCTCTTATTTAGTGACAGTCAATTATTTTTATGAATTGTCAAATATCCTTTATCACAGCCTCATAGGCCTGTTATTTTGACAACTTTTCACCTTTAAAGGAATTATCAGTGAGCAGAAATTCGACCATGTAGGCCTATCTGTTATTGCTCCTTACTTCATTCAGTTATATATAAGGATAACTCGATCATGTTTTCCATTTTTTGCATCACTTCCCGTTTCTTAAAATTTCCGCAACGTATCTATCGTAGCAATGATCCCTGTGTTAAAATTATATTTGAAACAGGTTTTCAGTTCTATTGCATATGTGATAATGGCTGACACCAATATTGTCCTGTAACTAAATCCATAAAAAATGAAATGAAGTGGGTTTTAACGTCCTACTGTTCTGCTCCTACTGGGCTAATGAAGACGGGGCATATGTCATGCAGTGTGCTATGAGGGAAATTTTGCTCAGACTGCGGCGGTGCTATGGCCTAGGCCTACTCTTATTTCAAATTCCAACTATCAAGGGTTCTTTTACGTGCACGCCAATATGTAGAGCTACATGGGACCTTGCTTTTTGTATATGTTGTCCCTTGCCAGGCACTCCGTCCTACACCACTGGCAAGGGGGGACCACATTGAAAATTGTTGATGAACTTTCCCATGCCAATGCAGGGATCAAACATGGGACCTCCAGGTTAGCGAGCCAACCTCCTACCCACTGAGCCACCGTGGCTCCCTAAATCCATAAAAAAGGTTGTCCTATTTACTTGCAACATGACTAGGACTGCCCACTTGCCCTTATAGCCCTTATGGTGTCATCCTCCTCCGCCAATCAACTGAAAACATGGGATTTGGGACACCCAAAAGTTGGCTTAGTCCAGTGGTATCCTCCCGGATTGTTTCCCCATGGGATAGTTGCTATATGGTTTTCCCAATGAGCCACTGACCCATTGATTATCCATATGCCATGTCTTTTTATGGTTTTTTTTCTATTGACATATTCCGAAATCAAGAATTTGCTTAATTCTGTAACTTGGTAGTGTGACAGGGTGCTCCTGTTGGAAATTTAATCTTCAACCCCATTGCTGGCATGAAATATGGGGTTTTCTCATAAGGACTGATGCTATAGGCCTCTTGATCCGTCAAACCATACCTGAAACGTGAAGGAATAGTAAGAGCAACTGCATCAGTGACCTCCCAAACCCTCTCCCAATCTGGCTACAAAGTTATAGATGCATATTTTTGTCATAAAAATACTATTTTATGCAATACATAGACCTATAACAGATAGCCTATTATTGAATATGCATGCTTTTGTCACAATTCGGGTGGCTGAATGTTTTAGATCATAAGGTCTATCATTGTGTCAAGTGGCATAGTTTTGATCCCTTGCTTATATGTGACAGAAGTAGAATCGCCACATTCAAACTCATGTTTTTTTTCCAGGTCCTCTGTATTTTTCCCATTGCTAAATATATCTACGTGCAAGTGAATTATTGAAATAAAATTGAACCATAATATATGTTGGTCGCAAAATGACCTAGTTTGTGTTGAGTGGGCTTAAAACCCATCTCTCTCTCTCTCTCTCTCTCTCTCCCTCTGGTCACAATTTCTTATTTCATGTCCATTGTATTTTATTCAGTTACAGTGATATGTATATTAAATATTGATGTATATATTTTCAGGGATTTTAAAAAACATTGGGGTTTTCATCAAAATGATAACAAATCTCAAGAGACCTAACAATTCCTGTTCGCAGGGTATAGATGCTGTTTCCTCAGTGGATCATTAGATACATTTATTATTAGTGATGTTCTCACTTGTTTACATTTTTTGGTAGCCTTTATTATTTTTTCATAAATAATTAATCTTTTAAATGCTATTATATTTTCATTAGTTATACAGATCATTTCTGGTTAAAATCAACTTTGGGCCTTGACATTTTGTTGACTGCCTGTTGACTACCTGTTTTGTGTGTATGTAGATGAGTTATTGTGATCAGTCGGTCAAAGTTAACTAGTTTATATTTGGGCGAAGTTTAATTGTAACTGCTCTTTTATAGTAGGCTATACTATAACATTTACATTTATCAGAATTCATATACATTATTAGGTTCTTCATAAATTTCATTGACTTTTTATACTCCACATTTATAATTTATAATGTGGACGTATTATGCCGTCGCTCCTGTCTGTGTGTGTGTGTCTGTGTGTCGCCTACAGGCCACAATTCTTACATGATCATCTTGAAACTTTACATACTTATTCCTTATACACTAAGGATGATCCCTATTGTTTTTGGTGCATGCCCGACCCCCAGGGGCAGAGCCACGCACATTTTTTGTATTTCTTTGTTTGTCGTCTACAGGCCGCATTTCTTATGATCATCTTGAAACTTTGCATACTTATTCTTTGTACCCTAAGGAACATCCCTATTGTTTGGGGTGCATGCCCACCCCCCAGGGGCAGAGCCATTCCCATTTTCTTTTTGTGTGTCTGTGTTTCGCCTACAGGCCACAATTCTTAATGAATCGTCTTGAAACTTTGAATACTTATTCTTTGTACCCTAAGGAACATCTATCGTTTGGGGTGCATGCCCAACCCCCATGGGCAGAGCCACGCCCATTTCTTGTATTTGTTTGTTTGTCGTCTACAGGCCGCATTTCTTACCATATCATCTTGAAACTTTGCATACTTATACTTTGTACACTAAGGAACATCGCTATCGTTTGGAGTGCATGCCCGACCCCCAGGGGCATAGCCATGCCCGACCCCCAGGGGCATAGCCATGCCCATTTTCTTTTTGTGTGTCTGTGTGCCGCGTACAGGCCACAATTCTTAATCGATTGTCTTGAAAAAATTTCGTATGAATTCCTTATACCCGATGGATGATCCCTATTGTTTTTGGTGCATGCCCGATCCCCAGGGGCAGAGCAACGCCCATTTCTTGTATTTTTTTGTCGTCTACAGATCGCATTTCTTAACGTATCATCTTCAAACTTTGCATACTTATTCTTTATATCCTAAGGAACATTCCTATCCTTTAGGGTGCATGCCCAACCCCCATGGGCAGAGCCACGCCCATTTCTTGTATTTGTTTGTTTGTCGTCTACAGGCCGCATTTCTTAACGTATCATCTTGAAACTTTGCATACTCATTCTTTGTACCCTAAGGAACACCCCTATCGTTGGGGTGCATGCCCAACCCCCAGGAGCAGAGCCACGCCCATTTTCTTATTGTGTGTCTGTGTGTCGCCTACAGGCCACAATTCTTAAGGATGATCACTATTGTTTTTGTTTCATGGCCGACCGCCTGGGACAGAGCCACGCCCATTTCTTGTATTTATTTGTTTGCCATCTACGGGCCGCAATTCTTAACAGATCATTTTGAAACTTTGCATACCTATTCCTTATACCCTAAGGATGCTCCCAATTGTTTTTTTGTGATTGCCCAACCCCCAGGGGCAGAGCCACACCCATTTGCTCTTTGTGTCTTTGTGAGTTGCCTCAAGCCATGATTCCTAATGGATTGTCTTTGAACTTAGGATATTTATTCCTTATAGCCTAAGGACAACTGCATGTCCCGACCCCCAGGGCAGAGCCACGCCCAATTTTTGTGTTTATCGTTTACAGGCCGGAGTTTTGAATGGACCAACTTTGTACTTGGCATATGTATTCCTTATAGCCTAAGGGCATCAACTATTGATTTTGGTGAATGCCCCAAATCCCAGGGGCAGAGCCACGCCCAATTTTTGCCTTTAGCGCCCGAAGGCCACAATTCTGAATGGATTATCTTGAAACTTGGAATACTTATTCCTTATACCCTAAGGACGGCAACTATTGATGTCATTTCAATAACAGGGTGGTACATTTTCATGTGGACGTATATTGTTGTCGCCCCTGTCCGTCCGTCCGTCCACAATTGGTTGTGAACACTCTACAGGTCACAATTTTTATCTGATTTCAATGAAACTTGAAATATAGGTTTATCACCCGCAGTTCTCGGTTCCTTTTGATATTGGCATGAATCGGACTGTAACTTCATGGATTATGGCCCCTGATTGTACGAAAAATCACGTTTTTAGCTTGTGAACACTGTAGGTCACAATTTTTATCCGATTTGGTTTAAATTTGGAATGTATGTTTATATCCCACAGATCTCGGTTCCTTTTAATATTCACGCATATCGGACCATAACTTCCTGAATTATGGCCCCTGATTGTACGAAAAATCGCATGTTTAGCTTGTGGACCCCTTAGAGGCCACAATTTTTATCCGATTGAAAAAACCTTGTGAATATATCACCGTTA